ACTTTATTAGCAAAGAAGTATAAAAACTTCTTGTGAACATCTTTTTTGTGTATGATCAGAGGATCAGCAGAAAGAGTACCTTTATAAATTTTTAGATAGTATACTATAGATAATTATTTATTTTAGTTGTTTCTAAATTTTATCTTTATTATAATAAAAATTTATAGATTAATACAGAAATAAATTAATATTTTTTTTTTAAAAAAAGTATTAAATTATTAAAAAGTATAATATTATTTTTTTAAATCTGACTTAAAATATCTAGTTAAAATTTAGTTTATTAATTGATAATATACAATAGTGAAATAATTATTATATAAAAGTTATAACTTATCAAATATTTATTTGATTTTTTTTTTTTTTTTAATTTACCATCAGATCAACATGACTTGTTTTTATTATATATTAAAAGAAATAATTACAATTTAAATGACTTTTATACAGCATATTAACTCATCTATTATTAAAGTTTATCTTTTATATATATACAACTTATTTAATATTTCAATAAGAAAATATAAAATATACAGTATTATAATAATAAGTCAATGCTCAAAACATTTGATTAAAGATAATTATTATAGATAGTATTTGTAATTAAATTTTTATTAATTACATAAACAGCATGTATCTGATAAGCTTGTATGTTATTAAGAACGAGTTTCACACAGGTCACTTAAGAGGTCGTATACGAAATCCAAACCCTAAGAAAAAGGTTATTTACAGTATTTATTTCTTGACTTTAATCTGCAGCTAATGACGTTGCGCTACATATGATAACATAATGGTGATAACGTAAGAATGAGACCTGCAAAAGAAGAAATTCATCGAGCATAAAGTAAAAACCTTTCCTACCCATCGAGACGAAAATTCTATGGGTTCCCAGAGATCACTCTGAACCCAGATTCCCGAGCGATCAGCACTCGCTACAGACGTAGGTTGCATGACGGCTTGTCACATTTGTTCGGCAGGTTTCTATACGAGAATTATACGAGAATTCTGCAACAAGAATCAGGTGGATTCGCACATAAATCCTGATTAGCTGGGAAAACTGTGAGTCCAATTTGTCGCAAGACGATATCAACACATAAAAGGAATCGTCGTCTCGTAAGAAGGAGCGCGCGAAATTAGTAAGGCTCATAGTTGGGAAACGAATTAGTCTTTTCGGGGGTGTAGTCACTCGGAGATTTATATTTAGGTCCGCCTCGAAAGTACGTGATCTCTAAAAAAAATTTTTTTTTAACTCAACTCATCTGGGAATCGTGAGAAAGAGGCGGTGTCCTTTTTAGAAATGGTCATGTGTAAGACATCAAATATCGCCAAAGGGAGATCTCACTGAAACTGAGAGATTGTTATTGGCGCCGAGATCAAAATAAGAAAAAAAAGAGTAAGATTTTCCTTGACTAGTAGTCTTCCGCCACATAAAAAAATTTTTTTTGACATCATTCTTCATAATTTTACTCGAGTGGTAGTGTGTCACACACCAAGCTTAGTAATTATTTGTTGCCCGGAATTATTTGCATGAGATTTTTTATTTTCTCATTGTTAAAAAGGAAGTGATAACGTATAAACAATTATCATCTAATTATATAGTGCATGCATACAATTTTCAGGTGGAAATGGCAAACCCTTTTGACAGCTCAGATCGCTACAATATTTAAAGCACAAAAATTTTTTTGCTTATAAGCCACAACTGTATAAATAAGCATAAAATCGTGGATGCCAATGGTTGACCAGTCCAACCTGCTGCTTATTTGACATCACCGATCGTTAATATAATTTCCCTTTACTTAACCATCATTCGTTCGACCATCACCACCAAACTAGTTAACGCGCACGGATTACAAACAAGATGAAACCTTTCACCGGCGAACTTCAAAATTCGGCTCGCAAGTATTACCGAAAATTTTGTTTCATGGGTGGGTTTTCACGCCTCACGCGTTTTTCTCTGTCATGTTCATTCCTGATCATCTGCCTGACCGCCGATTGATATCATTTATGCGATGACTTTCCCTAGTTGCGCATTATCTCTCATACATAGGCAAGCCGTTCGAACCATACACTACCCAAAATAAAATTCTATCGCTCGTCAGTTTAACCGAAGACCGGAAGACCACCATTCATCTGACCAACACACAGAAACTCTATTGTCCAATTTATAAGTTCACTAATTGTGAAGGGCTATATGTAGCACATGTCGGTCACATTGGAAAGGAATTATCTTGCGTCAAGAGATTTTATTCATACTTTAAATGTACCTCTCAATCGATTGACCCCATAACCAGAACCGGCACCGACAATATTAGTGATCATTATCATCATCTAATGGTTTCCAAGGTGGTGGCTTACAAGGTGGAGTTGAACTATATTGATCCATTGAAAGAATACTTGAATGTCCTCGTAGATGAGGAAACAGGTGAAATCATGGAAATCTTTGTGGAAATGGGTACACACTTGTTGTTCTCTTTTGTTTTTCAATTTCGCAGTTCAGTTTTTTTTTTTTTTTTAATTTTTTTTTTAATTTTTTTTTTTCATAGATAATGAACTTGATCTTGTCGAGGAGCCGACCTTTGAGGACGTCATAACCTTGTGGATTGCCGTCCTAATCTGGGGCGTACGGATGATAGTGAATCAAACTTTATCATACAAAAAAGCTGACTTCAGAATCTCCGGTATAATGACGACATATGAAGTTTATCTTATCAGGACGAAAAAAAATAGATCGACGTTAAAAATTGACATGTTGACATTCCTTTTGTTACACCTTTTTTTTTTTCCATTATTATCAAAATTTGTACATAGGAATTGAACATTAACGGGGACAGCAGGTTTTCTTCTTCCTTTTTCTTTTTTTTCTTCTTCCTTTCCTTATCTTTTCAAATCAGGCTTAATAAAGTAGGCGCAATTCTCGAAAGGTCACAAAAATGCATTGCATTCTTGGTTTCAACCCGGTTTGAACCGATTGCATTTTACGTGCATACGTCATCTGACGTTATCCTCTAACGGTCTTAAACGGACGGTCGTCAGAAATAATGATAATATTGTGTCAAGTTTATTATTATACTCGTGGCCATTGCAATCATCCATCTCCTTGTTGGACAACACCAACAACAAAAGTTACCGACAATGGTTTAAAATTGTTCCACATTTTTACTTTTACGTAAACTTTCACAAGCTCTCGATTTGTAATGCGCATATCATTTTTGCTAATCAAAGGTTACATGTGCCCATTCCCACTGTTACTATTTGATTTATTTTTGGACAGAGTAGAGATGATCGGCGTACGCTGGTTTTTTTTTTCCTTGCACCGACAGGATTTCGAACAGTGGCGGAGCTTGGGTCTATCACATTTGTCACGAGTCAAGATCATTCCCAATGAACAGCAAAGCCGTGGCCCGTGTTTTACCGGTGGTCCTTCAATCCATGAGGACCCTTTTGACAAACGACGCCACTGACGCAAAACACGCGAATTATTAACTGATACCTCGCAAAACCCTGCCCATTGCATCATGTAATTGGATATCCAAAGTAGTGCTATAATTGTCATGATTCACCAATCGTAGCCTTCTAATTATAATTGTGTTCAGATTCATTCGTGGTTCCTGCGTATATTCTTTTGTAATAGAAGAGACATGTGAAGATTATTGTTGTCGTGCATTGTCAGTACTTTCTTTCTTGCCAATAAATATCAACATTCCGTATTTGGGTAATCGCAATAAAAAAACCTTATCCGTAAAAGAAGAGCAATACAGTAACTCTTTCGTCATCTGACGCAATTGCGTACTGCGGTAGATGGTAGCTGCGTGGCGGATGATAAAACAAAAAGCGCGCGCAAAATTCCGTTTCGGATCATCTTTATAATAAATATCGGAATTTTAACTTTGATCGTAGGCAAAAGAGACTCATTCCACCTCGTTTGATGAATTATTATTGGTTGTCAAGCAAATCTGTAGTTTTATCGCTGCAAATCTATATGCAACAGGTGCTGACCATAACACACAAACTTCCTATTCAGCTGGATTGTTCGGGCGGTAAAAAATTGTGCTAAACGTGATTGGATGCTGGTATATACGACGCAGCAATGAAATTATTAAAGTTCGATAATGTTTGGATCACAAAATTTATTAAAACCAATTTCCGAGGGCATCCATTCATTTAAAAGAACAATTGAGGTCACAAAAATGCGAAACCCGTTCTAATTTTGGTTGGTGGCTTTTGGTGTGGATCGAGAATAGTTTTCACGAAATTGGAAATTTTATAAGCATTAGGGAAACCAGTAAAGTGTGGACACGTAGCGAAAGAATCAAGAATTTCCAGAAATAGAAAAACAAATATCAACAATGAAAAATTTTCATCTTTAGGCAAGTATCAGGGGTGAGACGAAAAAAGAATTTTTTATTCATCACATCGACGAATCTTTTCACAAAACAAAGAAAAAAGATAATTTTTTTTTTTTTTCTTCACGTAAGGAGATTAAGTCCCTTTATGAGTGGGAAATCGTTTTATCACTATGAAAACCAATTCAAGACTTGTTATTATATACTGCCGTCAAAGTTCTATCAACAGGTTATGCATTCTTCCGTTTTACTACAGGTGATGCTATTTTCACTGCTAACGGCCGTAGGGTATTGACATCTTTTTTTCAGTTCGCGGTACGAGGGCGAATCTTTGTACGCGATACCCGCCTTCATCGCTGCGGCCAAGCCCGTAAACAAAACATTACTGACTTTTTGGTGTACATTATACTGTTGATCAATCTCCAATGCCAAATTAATCCCGGTCCTCGATATCTCCCAAGCCTTATCTTGTAGTCCGTAGGCCTCATCAATGTTCTTGATCTTTCTCATGGTGTAGTTGACAGTGGCCGACACGGCGTCGGGAATCGGTGATTGCTTTAACGCCACAGCGCTCGTTATGGCGGCGTTAATTATGTGCTGAGATATTCTCGAATCTTTTATGTCATGTGACTGCGGTGACCGTGCCGACGAATTACACTCGCATTTTTTGGCGTCTCGATTGGAATCCGGTGATGGGGATGATGATATGCTAGATTCCATCATTTCTTCGGTCAATCCTGCACGATCCATGAATTCCTTTAACTTATTCTTCAACGCATCCCTTCTCGATTGATCAGCATGAACTATTTATTCATGTTTAAGGGTGATGATAAACAATATTAATGATCCATGTTCAAAAACAGAAAACAATCATGATAATGTAAGATACGTACTTGGCAAAGCTTCCAACATCTGTTCCAAGGCCGTGAAGTAAAGGTCGAGCGCGCAATCAGGATTCTCTTGATGGTCCTCCTCCACAGCGTAGGCGGAGAACGCGATCGCCTGATCAATCTTCTTACGATTGATTTTGTTGGAAGACCTCTTTCTGCGCTGGTGGTGTGCACCATCAACGATCGCCGATGAATGTTTCTTGGAAGCTGTGCTGTTATTCTTGTTGTTATCGCTGTTTTTATTATTAGTGTTGTTGTTCGAAGAGGATATGATGCTACCCATGCTTCCGACTGTCAAGGTAGAAGCGATAGCCGAAGAAAATGATTGCCTTTTTTGTTGTTGTTGCGGCTGCTGCTGAACGGTCTTTCGTGAGGAGCGCTTGTTACTGTGAGTCGGTTGTTGTGGCGCGGAGTGTGAAGTAAGGTTGAACGTGGAAGAAGGTACATTTTGTTGGTTCAAAGTTCCTTCGGGTTCTTGAGGTGATGATTTTTGCGAAAAGTATCCGCCCAATGGAAGCATGACCAGAGAAGAAGATATAAGCTGGGTTGGCAAAGACGATGGAATTTTCAAGTTACCAAATAGACCTTTGGCATCTTGAGAATTGGTTGGGGAACTATGATAGGAGAAGGCAGTTGCCGTGTCAAACATTGACATTGTTAGCTGCCGATACGATTATTATTATTGATTATGTAAATGAAAAGGTTATTATTGATTGTGGGATGGCAATGTGGATTAAATTACTAAGCACAGCGCTGTTTTGTTTTTTTTTTTCTTTCTTTCTGTCGTCGTTCCTCACACAAAACTTGTTTAAAGTTGATTTTCTTTTTGATCGATTAAAAAAAAAAAAGAAAAAGAAAATCAGAGGAAAGTTATGTGTTTCGTGAAGACAATACGTATTAGTATTAATTATATTATTAATAATGGTAGAAGAGGAGGCGGTGGTGTTGACAAGGAAATAAAAAAAAAAAGTTTTTTTTTTTTTTTTTTTTCTGATTGTGAAAAACCAGCGGTATTTGTATGAATTTCAAATGTGATGCATCAATAACATGTATATATATATACATATATATATATATATAAGCAACTTTTTTTATTTTATAAATAACGGAATGTGAGCAGGGGGGTAATCGGGTGCAATGTGTAAATTAGTTAAACTTTAAAAAAAGTGTAATGGTAAAAAAAATGCGAGTCATCGATGCCTAATAATCTTGCAGCATTCAACGTTCGATAGGTATACTATTTTCAGCACGCGAGAGAAATCGAATTGTTCGATTGATATAAGAGCTAAGGTCATTATTATTAGTGTGGGGGGGGGCAAGGAATCATGAGAAATTCATGAACAGATGACAATCTCGTGATATTTTTTGGTGCTCAATTGTTCAATAACCATATGAAAATTTCCTCGGGCATGAAGATAACGTATGATGTGACATTGGTTGTTGACAAATCTATTAATTGGGGGAAGAAAGAAAGAAAACGAATCCTTTGCCACGGTGCGTGGTGCATCGTTGCCGCCCGTACGCGCATTATTCGAACAAACTGTGCCGAGAGACTATTGTTGAAGGTGTGATCGGGTAGGTATAGCTGCTAACTCACCCTGCGGGCAATGGAATTATCAATTGTGCAATTGGAAATTTCTTGGTCAAGCGATCCGAATGATCGGAACTTGTTGGATCAACTTAACCATCATTAGCATCTAATATTGGTAACATGAGAATTTTCACGTTCAACCGTTCCTTTCACGCTATCGTGAATTCATTCACGCTGGTGATGTAAGGTAGATCTCGTGATATTAACCTTTTGGTGGATACGTGGAGCGAATTTCCACTGTACCTATAAAGAAATAGAAAACCTATAAAGAAATAGAAAACGGCGCATACAGTAATCACCGAACAACTCCGTTCTTATACCGTTAAGAAATATTCGTTTTGCGGGTTCAAATTACTCTGTCGGTCGCAGAGAATCGGTTCATCATGCACAGAAGCAGCTCCGAATATAAGTACACACAGTATATGTATTATATATACAGTATATACTGTATATATACTGTATACTGTATGTAAATTATATTGACTCGACTTCTTTCCTTATTAACGTCAATAGATAAATCTTATTATTTATTTTACATATCTGGTATAAATCATGGATTTAATGTACACAGCAAACTGCACAACATTTGGTATAGAATGATCGTAATAATTTTTTTCTTTTCGAAATATACAGTATACACAATATATGTATTGGATTTAATGCCGATAATGTATACAGGTGCATACCGTATATTCTGTATATCTACGCACATGCAAATTTTTAAAATTCTTTCATTTCAAAGCATAATTGTTCACCCCCAAAAATCATTCAATTACACTTAATATTTAAATTATAATTTTATTCTGTTATATAGTAATATTATATTACTTATATAAATCAGTTTTTATTTTCCTTATGATGTAAGATTACTTTAATATGTTAAAAAAATAAAAAATTGCAAATTATTATTTTGATCTTGATAAATTTAAAAATGAATATAAATTTTAAAAATTTTTTATATATGGCAAATTAGCATATTTTCATATTAAGTATTGATTTGCTTGTTATTTTATATAATAAAAATTTATCAATTCTGGATATAATTTAATACAATTGATTGAATCATATAATAAAATTAATTGATTTATATAATAAACTAATTAAATTATACTATATAATGCAATTAATAGAATTAAATTAAATAACAATAAAATAATCATAATTCCATATATATTATTATAATTAGAAATTATAATTTTAAATCCAGATCTAAATAATCTATAGATTTTAATTTAATTTAAAATTTTGGATTTATCTATAATTAAATTAATATTAGATTTCAAATTTTAATTTCTGATTGAATCATAATTTGAATTTTAAATTTTTAATTAGATATAAGTTAAATTCAATGATTTAATTATTTACAGTATTAGTTATATTTAAAAAAATTATTTAAAATAACAATATAATAAGATCAAATTTTTTCTTTTATATTATTTGACAATTTTTTATTTTTATTTTATAATATTATTAATATTATTTTTTATATTATAATCAAATTTATATTTACAATAACTAATAAATCTAAGTAAAATTGTTTTAAAAAAAAACAATTTTCAAAAAAGAATTCAAAAATGGTTTATTTTAATAAAGAAATGTTCAAAAATAAATTTATCTAAAATCTATTTAAACAATATTATACATTTTTTTCAAAAGATATGATCTATTTGAAATCTCAATTTAGTAATAAATCAAAAAAAAATATCAAATTTTTTAAAAAACAAATAAAATTATTTCTATAAATTTATTTTATTTTTGAATGTATTATTATTGTTTACATACTTATAAAATAGTTTATTTAAGACTTATAGATCTATAACATAGTGATAATGTTCCCAGATCACAATCACAAGATTTAAAGTTCAAATTATATAAGGACCATGGGAGAAAAATAACCAGGTTGCACAAAGATAGGACTTCTGATCTTTCTGTTGATTAATAGGTTAAAAAGAATCTATCATGAATATTGTATGAAAAAAGGTCTCTGGTTTGATTATACAAATTATATCTAATCTAATCCCCCTAAACTGGATAGTAAACAAACTCCAGAACTTTACTTTTAGGACTATGGTAATCGTTTGAACATATCACTAACTCCAAACTATACCAATAAACTCTAGAATCCCATTTTTAAGACTGCAGTGATCATTTAAACATTTTTATTCCAAATTGTATTAGCAGATTCTGAAACCTAACCATTCTAACTTGGAATATTCCAATCTGATGCTTGTTTAAATGAAGGACTTATCAAGCAAGACTTGTCTATAATGCTACAGGTAGTAACAAAAAAAATAGAAATTCTCTCTAAGATTCAAATGAAAAGTATTAGGTATTTGTATAATTAAAAATAATCCTTGAGAATTTGTCATCAATGTATAAGTTAGTATAGTAGTATAGTCTATTATTAATAGAATTAGCTAATTATATCAACATTGTCATCAATAACTATTATTAACCATTTGATTTCTAGACAAGTATGCCCTTTTACTTGAGAGGTTTTAAATAGGTCTGCCTAGGACAAGTCACAATAGATTATTATCAATCTACATGTATGTATATATATAAGATGATTGATATCATACTTAAGATTTATTTATCAATAAAGAGCCTATATCTAATACTAGTCATGGTTTAAAAATAAAAAATAAAAATAAAAATAGTTTATTTAAGCTTTTTAGATCTTTAAATCTTTTAAATTATCTTATTTATTAAATTATATTATGTATTGTATTTGATAAAATAATTTTTATCGATTAAATATAAATAAAAAAATCAAAAAATAATTATAAATAAATAGTTAAAAATAAAAATAAAAAAATTATTGTTAAAAATAGTTATTTAATAATATTAAAAATTATTATTAAAAATAGTTATTTAATAATATTAAAAATTATTTTTATAACTTTTTTCTTTTTTTAAAAAGTAAAATCTTTCAAATCAAATCTATTTTTTTTTTTTTTTTTTAACCCGCAGTCAGGCCAATATGGCTTGTCCATTTTATTGTAAACATATTTGGTATTTAC